TTTACACACCTCATAAAGCTAACTGGACAGTTTAAGATTATTTATTCCTTAAATTGGTAACATGCTAAATCATCAATTACAGTTGTACCAATATCAGTCAAGAAAGTGTGGCAATGGTTCTCCAAAACAAATGCTCTACAGAGAATGAGGACTTTGTAAGGATAAGAGGCTGCACCTTGGCAGCTCCCTATGGGGTTGGTGAGTGGACAGCTTGGTAGGAGTTAATTAGAATCTTGTCACTAAGTAAATGCACCCTGCCTGGACTCTGACAAATGCTCTACTCTGACACTGGGGGCCAGGAGACAATCCACATCAAGCTACTGCAGGATGACCCTTTTAACACCAAGAGTAAACTCACTGCACAGCAAGTTGAAGCTCATTAAAACTGTCTACTCTGTGAGCATCCCATTAACCTCCCTGTTAAAAATACACAATTCCTCTTCTTCTCTTGCAGGCCTAATTAATGCCCAGGATCAGGAACAATGTAACACCCTAACCTTCCTAGATTTCCAATAAGTAAATGAAAAAAGAAAGGGGTAGTCAGAAAGATACAGATGTATCACCTACATCTCACACCATATTGGTGGTTGACCCTTTCAAATAGGTAGGTTGTCTCATGAGGCTAACACTGAGTTAAGGGAGATTGTCTGGGCTTAATCGGCAATGTAATTAGGCTGTGATTTAACTACATATTTCCATAGGTTGACTTGATATGCTTTTATATCCTATTTCTAAATTTGATTTGCAAACTGGAGATGATTGCTAGAGAACGTATATACTATAAGTATGTATCTGTGCAGTGTGTTATCCTGACAAGCTTTTAAAAAAATCACCCTCTATGACACTCTTTTTCCTCCAACTCCAAATCGTTCTGTAATCAATGATAGCTTCCGTCTTGAAATTTTAAGCAGCTTAGGCTAGCACGTGAGTATTAATTTACAGATGGCTAGGGGAGGAAAAGATCTGAAAGATTTACAGAGGAAAAATGCAAAAGTAGGCTCACTGAACCCTCCACCCACATTTCAGCATGGCTGAATAACCAGAATTCACATCATTGAGCACTGATGTCTAGAAGGGGATGGCTGCCTTGGACTCTGCCCATTCTATAGAGAGGTATAGTCAAAAGAACATCTGCTACCATTCTGACTTGCCAATAGTTGAGGTATTCAGGAATTCATTGGCTGTCAACGCTGGCAACTATGACCACAGGATTACTCTACAAATGTCCTCTTTCAGGAAAGCTAGGAGAGGAACTCAGTGTCATTCCAAGTCCCTTCCAGGAAATCACATAAAGCCAAAAGCCTGGAAAATGTGAGGTGATTTGCAAGAGAAAAGGTGCTGCTAAGATATGTCAGAAATGTCATTTTTGAACCACTATGCAAGAAGAATGGACAGAACCCAAGGGACTCTTACTCTGCTAACTAGCAGACAAGCAGAAGGGGGAAAAAAGTTATCTATGTCTATTCTTCAGTCACTCTCAATGAGAGAAAGAAATTGCATCCAGAATATGCACGCTCCTCTCCCACAGCATCAGACAACCAACCATCATATTATATCTCATTCAGAAAAAAAATTACTGAAAAAAAATTAAGGAAATTTAAGCTGGCAATAATAATCTCATTGAAGGTCAGCTACATACAGATGCTCAATAACATTTGGGAAACAAACTGTTTAGCGGTACCCCACAGATTAATGTCACTCTAGAGATACTGCAAAAATAAGCAGTGACTACTTTTGGAATGAGAGCTAGGCAAAACTAGGAAAGTTTTATGAGAATGTTGCAAAGTGAGCCCCCTTCTCTCTCACTTTGCAAAAGATCTATGAAAGAGCTGAATTGTTAGAATGTTTCACTGATGTCCAGTATTTTTTATATGATCAATATAGGAATTGTTGGCCTTTCCTTTCCTTATGTTGCAACACAACATATTCAGATTAGCTTTGTTGGGTGATGTCTCAAGGATACATATGTAATCTCTGATTGGTAAGTATTACTTAAAAAGGAATAACATGGGAAAAAAACAAACCAAAGCAACTTTGAAATTGGAGAGTTCATCCTACCACAATTTTCTAGACAAAAACCATACCTGAAAATGACTTATATCAAAACAAAAGTCATATGAAAATCAAGCAGAGGGGGAAGATTAAATATTCCCCCATGAACTAAGCTTCCATTTACAGAAGCATTCAGAACAGTAATGTTTCTCATTTCTGCATTCTGAATTTCAGTCTTAGTAAAAATGAACAGTTTTGTTTGTCATCTTAACCAGCTCTATGGAAAAGAATATCTAAGCATTCAGATTTATTCTTTGACTAGTTTTGCTTCCAATATTCTTGATATCCCTCCTTCAAATACCCTTTTATTTTTTTGTTTGAGTGTGTGTGTGCGCGCACGCATGCTATTAGTTTTACTGTATATAGTGCTTTAAGGTTTAACCGCTGATTAATCCCATCAAGCATAGTGGGCAACAGCAAGGCTGATCAGCTGCCAAATAAATATCATTGAACATATATAAACACTGTGAAGGAATGAAGAGGAAGGGGTGATTGTCCATAGGCAGCCAATAGTATACAGATATCCTCTTGTGAACTCAGAACAAAAGTATAGCAGAGATTTAACAAAAAGTCTTTCCCTCATCAAAGGATGTTTCAGCATAGCTGTGGACCACAATCTGTTTCTCCTGGTCCACAATTCACCCTACAGATTCTAACCCTTATTTTTCTCTCTTTCTCTTTCTCCTCCCAACTAGCATGCACAATTATTCTTTATAGCCAAACTTACACAAGTGTGCAGTGCTAGACTATTACCTACCCATCCAGTAGCCTCATGATTGCTATTACCTATCCTTCATATACAGCAAGAGTTATATCCACAAGATCCTAGATTGAAAAGTCAGTTTCTTCTGAAGTGAGGCCACGGTATTTGCCTGCATCATATCAGACTATTTGGCCTCTACTTGCTACAATGAAATACCATAGTTATGCAAAAGGTTAATGACTTTGAATTTTAAATGATTACCTTCCATTAAAAAAAAAGGTTCAATAGAAAATATTCAATCATTTCCAGCACTATATTCTCAGTAAATCTAAGCTGATTCTCCAATTTTAATGTAAATTTAAATGTAAAACTAATTTTGCTTTCAGTAAAAAAAAAATTTTTTTTTAACTAAAACACCCTGTGCCAAATTACATACCTCAGTTAATAGCAAATAACACTAAAGGAACATTTAAACATTTGGAAGGCTCAACAGCATATTTTTAAATACAAGAATGCAATGTGATCAAATAGGGGTAGTTTAAAAGAGAGTGAGAGAAAAAAAAGGATAAGTCACCCAGTTCTAGAGAAGACTTGCTCATTTTAAAGCTATGCTGTTTTCATTAGGACCTACCCCAAAATTTTAAAAGCTGTTTAATCTTTTTGCACATTGGGTTGCATTTGGGGGGCAAGGCACATCTTTCACAATAATACAGTATTAAAAGAAACAACTCTTGTTAAAAGAAGAAAATCTGCTTTACAGGCTTAAGTCCAATAGCTTGCACTCACAAATAATATGCTGATATCTCACACCACAAACAACACTTTTAGGCTCAGTGAAATAAAGAAGCAAAACCTCTTAGAAATAAAAGGCAGTCAAGAAGATTGGAGAAAATAACCACCATTGTACACAACTTTCCAGCAAGGAAAACAAGCTGATGACAGTCCACTAGACGTACAAGTAATTAAAGACAGTGACAAATTGTATTGTAGAAATGTTTGTGGCTTTAGTATGCTAAGAAAAGCCATTACAAACACTTCTATAAAACACATGAGAGGAGATAAATGGTCTGAAAGAGATCTGGACAATAATGTAAAAAAGCTTCTACACAACCTCAGCATACATGAATGGCTGAAATGAGCCTATACCCAAGCAAAGAAGCAGCATTTCAGTGGTATATTCCATCAGCAATGCAACCAGATCCATAGTTCAAAAGGAGCTTGCTAATTAAAAGCTGGTGACTTTAAATAATTCATCTCCTTAACTCATATTGATTTGATAGTTTAGTGGTAAGGATCTTGAAACAATATTAAACCATTTCCTCCAGGCTTGGGTGGTAGGTGACTTTTTTCCTGTTGCCCATGTGCAAATTTAAATGTACAGCTGAAAGAGGCTGATAAAAGAGGAAGAAACACAGCAGAGAGGACATATTTTGACAGGTGCAAATGAGGAAAAACTATCAACTAACATATCTCAAATTTTCCTTGGACCACTAGGAGATATAGTATGCATCTACTATTAAATGCATACCACATATTTATTATACTGCTACCCTCTAGTACATAGGTCAAACATACCATATTCCAAGTTGCACTTGCTAGAGATGCCATTTTACAATTTTTCCCATACATCTTAAAATCCCTAGAGGTCTGTAACATGTCTCCGAAACATCAGCAGAAGAATAAAGAGCATGTTTACAACTGAGTTCAAAAGGAGGCATAAATATGCTCAAACCTATTCACTTGAATGTAAATAGAGATTAGAAAATCAGGGACCACATAAGGTCCACCATCAATATGACATCAGGATGTCCATATCATACTGTCTAAGCAGGGGAGAAAGAGAAAGCAATTGCTCTTCTGAGATGTTAGTATTAAAAACTCAAATGCAACATGGACCCATATATTTTAGAGACTTATGAAGAGGTGATGGTTGATACAAAAGATGAAGGATGCTAAGCAGAGCATGTGTGATTGCCAACTCTGCTTAAAATTACTATTCTAAAGCAACCCTACCATTCATAAAACAACCTTATCCTTCTGGACTTAGCTTCTTGCCTCTTCCTTGATTAACCACATCAAGGATGGGACCCAAAACTGGAGGACCACACAGCAGACTGAATTTCACTGGCTGAGAACCATACATCTTGGGTATTACATCTGAACAAACACACAGCAATCTTCTATTCTTAATACATGAAGAGGGGCCGAGGGAAATGTAAGAGGAAAAAAAAGACTTGTTACTTACCTATCCCACTGTGAGGCCTTCCTATGTGCTGTAAGTTCAGCCCTTTGTTCATGTCTAAGAGCCCATTCTTTGGCCAGCTCCCCATGGCAAAGCTATATGCCTGGAAAAGAAAAAAAAATATATTAACATGATAGTACAGCAAGACGTTGACTCAATACCCATCAAAATACTTGATTTAGCTGTTCTTCAGCATTATGAAGTCCAAACATTTGGTTCCTTTGTTAGGAAGTCTACCTCCCCCTTTCCAGCGCTTTATTTTGAGCACTCTCATCCCCATATTATTCTACTATTAAATACAAATGCACATTCTCAATATTTTCTCAAGCAGCAAAGACTGGCTTGGTGCAGAGGCTTTAAAATTGTTGTGGATAGTGTTCCTAAGTTTTTTTTTCCAGATTCCACCATGAAGAATGTCAGGTTTTTCCCATCACTACAACAAAATGATGAAAATTGACTATTTGCACTAATGTCAATCAAAACTGACATTATAAACAGGTACCATTCACTACCATCAATGTTGTCCCAGTATCCCATTTAAAATAGAGTCCTCTACATACAAGGACTCTCTGTGCTATATAGATGCAAATGGAAAAAATAGAAAATCATGCTGGCAGGCAACAGTCTTAAAAAAAGAAACTGGGTCTATAAAAAAAAATACAAGGTATGAGACAGATATATATTCCCTTATCCAGACTGAATAGTTCTCTTAGAACTCAGAATCCTAAAATCTTGATCACACACTTTTGTCTTCTTAGTGTTTTCTTTATTCAGGCAAACCTTGGATAGAATCTCCCATGCTTCCTACCTTTTTTTTTTCCCAAGAAGCAGAAGAGTCTTTTCTTTATTTACAAATGTGATATTTTTAACAAACCCAAATACAAGTGTCTTCCTCATATAAGATTTAAGAGTGAAGTAGATGGGGAGACAGCTTCTAGCAGCAATCATCTAGCCAGGAGAAAGTAACATTTCTTCATTTTCTATAAGTAGCAACTATTTTTTGGCTCCTGAAGCCAGTATGTTAAGAGCTACTACTGATCTTAGATCCCAAAGGTAGCCTCACATACCAAACAGTGTAGTTTATATGCTTCTAATATATAGGGAAATTGTCCAAGAGCCTTTAAATGTACTGAGACTCTGGATAATTTTTTTTCTGTTCCGCACTGTTTACACTAGTAAATACAGAGTTCTATTTAATCTCTGGCCACAGAGGCTTCCAGATTACTAGAAGACAACAAGAGCAGAGTAGAAAGTGAAAGGATCTCTCTCTTTTTCTCTCTCTCTCCTTTGAGACAATCTGGCAACTGCATGGAGAGGTCCATGCAGTTTTCTAGGCAATATTTTTAGAGGTGGTTCGCCATTGCCTTCTTCTAGATGGAACTAGAACTCAGACCTAGTCCAGCACCGTAACATTCTACTTCAATAGCTAGATTGGCTCTGTTCCAGTACGAGACACTACAGTGTGCTCTGTGAATTACCTGGAGAAAAGGTAAGAGAAACATATTGAAAACAATAAATTCTAAATTCTCAAGAATGATAACTTTGATAGGCTTTTTATCCTCTCCTCAGATCATAATTTTTATAAAGCAATTAATCCATTAGCCAAGCAGTATTTCCTTTTCTATTTGCTTGACACTCTCAAATGCACATAGCATTTGTGTTGTTTTTATCATTTTGCCTGCCTGTGCTTTTCTAAGTTAATTTGTGCCTACAATTCAACATTTGGAAATGTATCTGAGCCACAGTATTATAATGTAAATCTAAACAATTATATAGAAAAGCATATTATGCCCTGAGCCAAGTATATTAAGGCAAACAGGTTTTAAGCCAACTCTTCTACTGTTCCTGGTTGTCAATATTTCAATTGCACATAGGCTTAGTTTACAGTGGGTCTGTAGAATAAAAGAGTAGACCACAATTTAGTTTGGACAGTTAGTTCTCCTAAGTGGCCATCATCCCTCCTTTCTTCCCTCTATTTCTTCAAGTTTTCCAGATAATCCTTCTTTGGGTTCCAATGGATAATGTTGAAGTTTGCCTCCTGATTCTTCCAGGCTTCCTCTCTCTGTCACATAGCAAAGACAATGGAAAAAAAGGGAATTATCTATTACACTCCAATGTCAGCTTAGCTACCAGGGCTATTTTCTATCCATTCTTCTCTTCTACAAAAATTCTAAGGATATTAAAATAATGCGCATAAAGCATGCTTGAATCCAAATTTCTCAGCTCGAAAAGCAAGCCATAGTAAAAAAAGGAACTGTAGTAATTAAAAAAAAAAGGAGGGGGGATTTGCACTTCTCAGGACAGCCAGCATATTGCTCATGATTACTTTCATACTTCCAGATCATTTATTTAAAGTATTTAAAAAACATTATGGGAAAGAAAAGGGAACAGAATGTATTTAAACTCAGAGAAAAGCAAAGGGATCATTTTCAAATTTCATCCCTCTGAATTCTTACTCAGAGATTCCTCCCCCCCCCAAACCTCATATTATGCCTTTTTATTCAAAAGTAAGCACAGATTGCTTGCAAATTCCACCTCAGTGTATATTTATTCAAAACCAAGGTAATCAACTTTAAGATCCTGAATGCATGGAGGAATGATTCATTAAAAATTCATCTTTGAGACCCATGTTTTTCTGATTCAGCAGTTTAGCAACACAAGCTCCTTTATACAAACAGTAAACTAAGGCAAACAATTTCAAGATCTTGAATACAAAATGGGAAAGAGTGTACATGGCAGCATCTAATCCTTTGGATCCACATGCAAATTCAGGAAAATGAATTTGTAGGGAAATACATTTACACACACATATAATTCATTTCTCTCTCTCTCTCTTTCTCCAGTGTGATATCTCTTATTAGGAAATTATTTAATTTAAAAAGCACCACCTGGGAAGGAGATTCACCCTCCTTACTGGGCTGACACTGTTCATTTAAAATAAGAGGACTACCATATAGCAACTTTTTGCTAAGGCTGTACATTTATTTCATCAGCTAAAAAATGCCACTATATTTTCAGTTATCTCTGTGAGTTGATTGCCATGAAACTACAAGGGGGAGTAGTCTGTGCCAGAGCCCTACCTCATTACCTATCCCAAAAAGCTGTTCTCAGCTTCCACACTCAGTGTAAGTGTATAATTCATAAAATAAGGTCAGAAGCCTCTCTAAATAAATGGGCAGTAGTGATGTGCTGTGCTGCTACCACTAATAAGAACAATAACTTGAGTGGCCAGTTGAGGATCTAGGAGGGACAAGACTACACTAAACCTGATCTTGCCAAAAGGACTTGCTGCCTCATATATACATATATACATGCATACTTCCTTCTGGGGGAATCAACATTATGCAAAGCAAAGAAAAAGAATTTAAAAAATAGTAATAAAAGAAATTAAAGATATAAGAAGCAAGCTAGCTAGCTAGCGGAATCCAATATTTCTAACATCACCACATTTTTATACATTTATCCATTAAACACCCAAGGGGACATCATTCATACTTGTCTTACCTCTTGTTCTATGCTGTCATTTGCTAACAATTTCATTTATACTCTCATATGCTTTACTTCCACCAAACCTCTGTTATCACATTCAGCAATCAACCTTCAACTCCAGATTCATGCAAAACAATAATTCAATCTTACTCACTTTATCATATGCTGTTTTTAAAATCAATGAATGTACAATAAACTTCTTTACATTCATGTACTTCCTAATGTCCTGATGAAAAGCAAGAATCTGGTCTGCATCTGTCTTGCATAAACCTGCACTGCCCTTCCCAAATTTTGCTCATTGTCATATTTCTCATCTTTTCACGCACAGTTCTCCCAAACACTTTCCCAGACTCACTTGACAAACTAATCCCACTGTAGTTCCTGCATTCACTCTTGCTAACTTTCCTTTTGTATAGGGGGAAAGGAACAGCATTCTTCTGATCATCAGGCACAGATGCAGTTTTCACATACACATTAAACAGTTAATCCATAAACAAACCATATCTACACTTAACTTTCTCTAGTTACACCATCTATACCTGCGATCTTACATTTTTCAACATTCACAGAGCATTTACAGTGATACCTCGGGATACGAACGCCTCTGCTTGCGAATTTTTCGGGTTACGACCA